TGATGGCGAGCGCCGTGAGCCGTGCGGCACCGTGCACGATCCAGGGCCGGAGCGAAAACGCGAGCGAGGTTTAAAGTTAGTGCCAGCACACCATGGAGCGTAGTTAATGTGTAGGAGAAACAGCTCTGCTTGTAGCTGGCATGTGGGAAAGTCCCGGGTAGGGTTTGGGCTCATTGAGTGCGGGCCCGAGCAGCGGCAGTGGGATCGTAGCAGAAATGACTCGCTCGAAAAAACTGGAGCGGGCAAGGGGCCCTGCGAGGGTGCCCAGCTCGTGTCAGTGGTGAGAAGCCCGCATCGGAGCCTTCGTGAGCTGTGCGATTGCATCCTGAGATAAACAAACGCCTTGTGCTCTTGCTCTCAGGCTCACCATGGATGCGACCGGCCACAGCGTCCTCCTCCTCCAGCAGCTGAACATGCAGCGGGAGTTTGGCTTTCTGTGTGACTGCACAGTTGCTATTGGAGATGTTTACTTCAAAGCCCACAGAGCGGTGCTCGCTGCTTTTTCAAACTATTTTAAGATGATATTTATCCATCAGACGAGGTAAGGACACACAGCTCTCCTACCTTTTAAGCACTCTGCTCAACTTCATGCATTTTCTACTTTCTAAAGGTATTAAAGCCTAAACTGTTAGGTGGCCTAAGATTATTTTCCTAACCCAGCACACCCCTTGGTTCTAAACACTCCCAATCCAGAATGTGCTGTCGTTTAAAACCACCCTCTTAGTCTGTATATGCCAATATCACGCCCTGCATTTTGGATATGAGACATTTGTGTGATGGGAAAAAACAAACATCTAAGTACCACAGTCCTCCTGCAGTGAGTGCCTCGCAGATTCGTAGTCCAGGGCTTTCCAGGTACCTCCTGCTTGTATGCAGTGCATCCATTACCTTGCACTAGATTGCAGGCAGGCTTGCTGGGTGGCACTGCCCCTTCTAGCAGGATCCACAGGCTTGAAGCAATGGAGAAGCCATAGCCTTTATCACAGTTCTGTGCTTGAGACTCTTGCAGATAAGAGCTGAGACAGATCATAAACTTACTTCAAGCTGCTGTTCAGGTGCTTCACCCAACTGGCTCAGGAGTGGTTCTGCAGGTATAACAACAGTGGTGCCAAGGTCTGATCTCATCTCTGATCTGGACCTTGCTGCTTGTAATCGATTAAACCCTTGGCCATTCCCCTTACTTTTTGAGGGTCGTGGCCCTCAGCACCTCTGCAAGATGATCGTTAGGTGTGGGCAGTGTAGACCTTCGTCTGGAAGTGAGAAGATCAATCAACTTCCCTTCCGCTAGATGCTGTTTACTGACACTTAAATGCAAAGCTCATAAAGATTACACAGTAGTGGCAGCTGAATTTATTACTTAAACACACAAATATTCTTTGCCTTGTGTTACTGCAGCGGCACACACTGGTGATGCATAGCTTGTGTGACACCGCTGCAGTGCCGCGTGGCAGCAATCGGCTGTGCGTGCGAGTGACGGGGTGACTGGCAGCTGGCCACTCTCACCATCCCTGGCCACGGTTGTGCACATGGCTTTTATAATCCCAGGGATAAATACAGAGTCAGGCACTTTGCTGTGCAAGCAGAGCACTTCTGCTTGTCTTGGCAAGGAGTGTTGCTCTAACAGCAAACGGCAGTGCAAATGGACAGGCAAGGTAATGGATCAGGACCATAATTGGGAGCCCTGTATGTACTTAATGATTTGTCTTGTTTCAGTGAATGCATAAAGATTCAGCCTACAGACATCCAGCCTGACATATTTAGTTACTTGTTGCATATTATGTACACTGGGAAAGGGCCAAAGCAGACTGTCAGCAAGAGCCGATTGGAGGAGGGCATCCGCTTCCTCCACGCGGACCACCTCTCCCATATCGCGATTGAGATGAACCAAGCCTTCTCCCCAGAGCTGGTCCAGTCTTCAAACTTGTACGGGATCCAGATCTCGACCACACACAAACCAGCAAAGGAACGCCTGGGAGCGAAGGAGAGTCTGCCCAAGGCGGGCAGCAGGCCTGCTGCCCAGGGCGATCACCCCCAGCTGCAGCTCTCCCTGGCCATCGGCCTGGATGACAGCTCCCTGGACCAGCAGGTCGCTCGCCCCGCTGCTCAGCCCGCTGCTCTCACTAAGCCGGCAGAAGAGCGGCCGAAACTCTCGGTCTCCATAAAGCAGGAGAGGTGTGACTCAGAGCCTGTGGTGTCCCAGAGCTGCACCCCTCCTTCTCCAGAGGTAGCGAGCCCCATCTTTGCGAAGGCCAGCCTCAAGGTGCACTTGTGTCATTACTGCGGGGAGCGTTTTGACTCCCGGGGTGGGCTGCGGCAGCACTTGCACACCCATGTCTCGGGCTCGCTGCCGTTCGGCGTGCCGGCCTCCATCCTTGAGAGCAGCGACCTGGGAGAGGTGCAGCCTTTGGCTGAGGACAGAGAGGCTGGGGATGGCCACCGGCTCGGGACCTTCCTCCTGAAGGAGGATGAGCATCAGCTGGAGCATCCGAGCTGCAGCGACCTGGAGCCTCTGCAGATCAGCCAGCTCTCCCTCATCTCCAAGGACCACGAACCGGTGGAGTTGAACTGTAACTTCTCTTTCTCAAGAAAGAGAAAAATCAGTTGCACTGTTTGCGGCCGCACGTTTTTCCGGAAGAGCCAGCTGCTCGAGCACATGTACACACACAGGGGGAAACAGCACAAATACAGCCGCTGCCAGCAGCTGGAGAGCCCTGCGACCCCCAGGTTTCATCCTTACTGTAACAGCGAGAGTGTGGGGAAGAGTTCCAGTTTACCTCAAGACCACTTAGATGAATGTATACTGGAGTCAGATCTCATCCAAGAGAGCGTTGATACGATCCTGGTAGAGTAATTCTCCCCCTTTGCAGCCTTCAGATACTGAAAATGGGTATTTTGGCGTTCTCTACCTAGTGAGTGGCTGCTCTCTGCAGCTGACTTTCTTCAGCCACTATTCCCGTCACCTCTGAGATAACTGTGAAGAACTGTGTACTTTGATTTGTGTACTTTCTTTTTTACTTCTCTAACTTTTAAATTAAAGCTGATTCCCACCTAAGTCCTTCTTGGAAAGGACTCCATGTAACTCAGTTACATTTTTGTAAATGTGAACTTATTTCTGCTCTGCTTTACTAGAATTAAGACTGTATTGCTGGGTGTGAGGTTTAAACTTTGTCTAATATGCTGTGCGGTGCTTAGGACTGTTTGTATCCCATAGAATTGCTCTTCTGAAACTAGATGGAAGGGAAACATAGAGGGAAATATGTATTGTGTTTCCCAGTTTGTTTTTAATTAAGTATCTCAAGGAGATGAATCCTGATGTTTGTGTTGTATAACTGCAGTTAATAAATCTCTGCATAAATGCATGCAGGAGCCATAAGGCTGGTCTTTTCACGGGAACTGGCAGTGCTGATGGAGGGATGGTAACTTTTGCTCTGACAACCGCTGGAGTTCTCATCAGTACAATCATTTCAATTTACTTTTTGACTCAAGGTTTGCATGTATTTTCCCTCATTCCTACGCCTCCTTGACAGCTGCTACTGCACGAGCAGAGACAAATTTTTATGCCCCTCTAAGACCACGTCCTGTTATTGGACTGTCTTCTCTGCAAGGAGGAATGAAAGCAGCAAAGATGTGTTGTCTCAGAGAGGAGGCACATCCTGACCTAAGTCTTTACACGATTAAATACCACGCATTGATTTTCTCAGCAAAAATTATTTCTGACTCTATGATAAACAGCTTGGTGCAAACACATTCTTAAACATTACAATCTGTGTGTTTGGTATGAGCAAACACATAATGTGTTATTCCTTCTCTGCTTATGGAGCCACCACACATCTTTATACCTTTCATTTGTCGTTCGTTACTTGATATCTGAAGAGTAATGGCTTATCCACGAGGGCTTTAAAATTGTATGCATTCCTCTTGGATTCGTGCTTTGTCCCTCTCTAGTTTTTCACCCGAGATACCCTCAGCTTCCTACCAAAGGGACGCCCCTCAAGAGATGCTCTTAATCGGAAGGCCTTAGAGAGGCACACGAAGTTCTTACAGTGCAAAGGTTTCTTTTGCAGTGAAGAGCAAAAGCCTCATGAGCTGCTCCCGTAATCTCATTACCCAGTTTTTGAGAAGCTGGAGGCTCCCTGCCAGTCCTGGTGGCATTGAGTCATTGCCTTCGGAAGGGGGGAGCCTGAACAATGGTGAGAACAGTTTACTGTCAAAATGCCCTCTCCAAAGCTCTTTGTAGTCGGGGACCCTCGAGCTGTCTTCTTTGAAAGTGTCCTGAAGCAAGAGCTGCAATTAAATTACTGCCGAATTAAAAGACCATCTGAGGTCTTTGTGAGGGCAGCTGCTGCTTCTCCTGGGCAGGGAGCTGCACACTCCAGGGGATGGATTGGTCACCGAGAGCTGCCAAATTGTGCTTTAAGACAAAGGGAAAAAACAAATAGTCTCTGAGACTACCCGGATGATGTTACAAAATGCATGCTGCGGTTTGGTGTGTGCTTGCCTGCTAGACAGAGTGCTCCTCTGCCTGCGTGTACCCATCAAAGCTGCTCTGGTGCGAATGTATTGTCACTGTTTAAAAAGCCTTTCTTTAAAACAAGCAAAGAAGCAAAACCCTGCTGACATCCAGGCCTGCAGAGGCTGCATCTAAGCATGTAGTGCTGCCCATGGAGTGTTTCCTAGAAGAGAGCCTTCTGGGTCTCTCACAGGGTGATCGCATCAGCTAAATCACATCCAGACTGCTTATAACTGGGGCAAATGTCCTCCAGCTTCCACTGATCTATCTTTCTACATAATGGTAAAAAAAAAAACCCAAACCATAAAAAGTGGTATTTTATAGTCATTCCCTATTTGTGTGCAACACTTTGCCGAGTGGGCTGGCTTCTTTGGGTGCTGCTGCTTCCCTTGGGTTCCCACATTTAATTTAAGAACAGAAAGGAGTGTCTGCTGGATTGGGTATAGCTGTAGAGGAGAGCTAAAAGTGAGTTTCCAGGCTATTCAGTCAGTAGATGAGCATCCTGGAACTTTGACTAGATGACTAACTTGCTTGAACTAGTTAGTACTGAAAGCCAAACAGCCCTTGATGTCTCTGCAAAGGTAATCAGGTACAGGTAATAGAGCTCAGTACTGGGGGTGGCAGTGGAGACAGCAAGCAGCAGGGCCCAAAGGCATCTCTGGGATATGCTACCTATCTTCAGGTTTGTGGCCAGGATTGTATTGTTCACTTCTTGGTAATTAAAAGGGAGCTTTAATAAAAACTGTGAGCTTGGGTAGAAGATCCACATGTCTATCAGCTACGTGTGCGTATGTCTTGTAGGAGTGACTCCACTGTACCAACTGCAAATACATCTGTAAAGCTGAAATCATCCTGAAATCAGAAACGTATTCATGTATGTATGTGTTCAGTATGTCTCTGAAAAGTTACAACTGCAAGCAGTATTTTTTTAATCGTCACACCCTTTTTTAGGGTGTAGTTTAGTTGAGCTTTGCGGTACTGAACATCTGTGACATCAAACATCTGCAAAAGGCATTTTTTGCATCATTTGCATTACAAGAAATGCATTTTCAGCAGTTTTCTACTGCAAGCGTAAAAGTTATAATTAAAGCAGTTATATTAAAGCAGCTTCGAGTTACGTTAACTTGAAAACATCGTTCTCTCTAAGTCTTATAAATAGAAAATAACTTTAGAAGACGGTTATGTTTTCTAAGCAAGGGCAGCAGCTGCTCCTGGATACATCATAAGATGTTTTATTACTCTGTGTGGAAGACACTTGAATTACTGAGTGCTTAACCTTTATGCCAGCACGTGCTTGAAAATCTGCCTGACTTGCACAGCTGGGCTTGGCAAATGCTCATTTCTTATGGGGTTTGGGTTTTTTCTTTTCAGGAAAACAAAAACCTGTCACAGCGTGCAGAATAATGATACTGGCGATTCCTTCCAGGTATCTGAGATTACTTGAGAGATGCACATGGGCTTAGGCAAAGCAAGTCACAGGATGGTGATACTTGAAGTCAGAAAGTCTAAAAGCTCCAGGGGATCCACAGGCTTTGTCCTGTGCTGAGCAGGGGTCCCAGAATCAGGGGTGCAGAGGTGATGAACCACTGGCATTGAAGTGCCTTGTCTGTGGGCCCTGCAGCTCATGTTTTATGAAAAATATTTTTGGGGTTGGAACTAGATGATCCAAAGGTCCTTTCAACCCAAACCATTCCATGATTCTAAAACATGGGAAGATCTGGGCTCAGAGCCCTGCCAAAGACCATAGCATGAGACTCCTTGGCCAGCACAAGTTAACCTCTGAAATGCCAGGCCAGGTCTAACAGGGGCCATGTTTCTTGGGCTGCTTAGGGTTCAGTAAAGGGTGTGGAATAAAGGGTATTTATCCTCCCTTGCAGCATGGGGTCTACTTATTTTACTGAGAAACTTGCTTTTCATCACCTGCCGTGCTGAAAAAAGCAGGTGGTGTTTTTTTCACCTGCCAAGTGAAAAGCCATTTGGTAGCACTTGTGCAGTGGAAGCATTGGGTTGAACTTCTCCTGCTTTATTGGTGCCAGAGGAGGGAGACTTTGGTGCCTGTTATTACATCCTTAAAAGGTAACCCGTCTCCTGTCAACATTCACCTGCAAATATTCAGATTTTATGTTTTCCACCTTGAATTTTTGGGTGTCAGAGAAAGAGGGATGCTGTTTGCCCAGGAGGTGAAGCTGATGGCTGAGCCATGCTCGCCCCATCTCCACACAGGACAAAAAAACCCCTTCAGTTCTTCTTATTATTTTTTTAATATATTTTTTACAAGGCCCGGTAGGGATAGGACAAGGACAAACCTATAAACTGCAAGAGGGTAGATTTATACTAAGTATTAGGAAGAAACTTTTCCCTGTGAGTGTGGTGAGGCATTGGAACAGGTTGCCCAGAGAAGCTGTCGCTGCCCCACCCCTGGCAGTGTTCAAGGCCAGGTTGGATGGGGCTTTGAGCAACCTGGTCTAGTGGAAGGTGTCCCTGCCCATGGCAGGGGGTTGGAACTAGATGATCTTTAAGGTCCCTTCCAACCCAAACCATTCTGTGATTCTATGATGATTCAGTGATTTCACTTTCTGCACAGACTGTGGTTACAGCATGCATCTTCAGCCATCTGGCTATACCAGCCATTTGCACAGGCTCTTCACTTGCATGTCATCTGTCAAATCACTGCAAATTGGGCGGCAGCAGCACGCAGGGGGTACGGAAGGGCTGACATGTGGGTGCAGCGCCCCTCACCAGAAGGGTTTGGGACATCTAGGCATACTGGGAATTTTAAAAAGGGAAAACAAATTTATCGTCAGGATGTAAACCTGAAGCAGTGAGCATAGCCATTAAGAATAAACCCATGAACTACTAGAGTATAATGCTAATACTGAATGGTTTTCTGCTGTTTTGGAGGCAGAAGGTATAAATCCCATGTAAGCAAAGCCTTCAGAATTGTAGTGAAAAGTGATCTCAGCATCTAGAATTCAGCATCATTGAATGGGACTATGGTGAGCTATCAGTATCAAGGCAGGAGGCTTTTTGACTTGTCAAAGCCCTCCCAAGGTAATCTGCCAACAGCAGGTCATGCCATACCGCTGTAACCATCTTCAGCTTCACTGTTTAATAAAGCCCAGCCTTTTCTTTCCCCCTCTTGCCATGGTATGCTAAAAAGGACAGCAACTGAGTGGGTTTCCCAGCAGTCCAGCACAAGGAAAATATATTCTAAGCCATAAGAAATCAGGAGGAAAAAGGTAATGAAGATGGATCTGCCCTAAATTACATGCCAGTTAGATAGTTACAACTGGAGCTGTGTCAGGACTGAATTCCTCAAGATGCAATCACAGCATCTACAG